GAAGGTTGTATTCGCTTTTAACGCTCCAGTACCCTGGGTCATAATGAAAGGTGTTCCGAAAAGAAAAATAACGTATTTCTTTATTTATTGACAGGAAACAAACTCTTGTTGGAAAGCAAATGATCATTACAGGCTCTTTACCATATGATCACTACCAGGGATGATCACTCGCCTCCCACCAATGTGGCCCAGGACGATTCTGGCGCAGTGTATTATGTGGGTTGAGGTCGTTGTTTCTTCTGGCCTTACTTCAAGGGTTTTTCTCCGGGTTTTCCGGTTTACCTCTCTCCACAAAAAAAAAAAAACAACAACAAACATTTCCAAATAATAATTCCACCAGGATAGAGTACCCGCATGAAAACCACTTAAGGATAATGTGGCCTCCTATTCAAATATTATATTTAATCAATCAATCAATCAATCAATCAATCAATCAATCAATCAATCAATCAATCAATCAACAAACCAACCAAGAAACAATCCAATCAATCAATCAATCAATCAATCTAGCAAGCAAGCAAGCGGGCGAGCAATCAATCAATCAATCGATCAATCAATCTATCAATCAATCAACCAATCAATCAATCAATCAATCAATCAATTTATTTATTCATTCATTCATTTATCTATTCACTCGTTTATTTATTTATCTATTTATTTACGAAGTTGTTGTTACTAAAAGAATAACAAAACCAAGCAACGATCAATAACAAAGACAACAAAACGTATTATTGATTAGTTAATATTCATGCAATGTTCCCCATCTTAATGGAAAAGTGATGTGAACTCTTGTTTCCTTCATACTCTGTGGAGTTTTTGTGTTTATCAGAAGACAGCAGCTCCCACCAAAGTTCTCCGTTAGCTCCTTAAAGGCGGCCATGTTTACCGAAAGGCACGAAGGACTGCTGAGGCATTCAAAGGTGCAATCGAATATGTCGTACACGGTGAATGTTCAAACTTGAGACACATTCAGATAATGGAACTCGTCTTTTACAAATGTATGTTATCGGACACTTTGTAAAGTTGAGTAGGTATCCTTGGGATGGGGGAAAATGTTTGACTTTGTTTAGGAAGAA